TGGATTGTGTCATTTAGTTTATTAATTTATATTATTTTTTATTAACATAACTAAAATTATATTATTTTTGTGAGTGATTCCAAAAATAGTGACTCTAATATTTTGTATCAATAAAGAAAACCAACACAAATACTTTTATTGTGTGTTATAATTGATGTCAATATGTATCATTTATAAAAAATAAAGCTAATCTTTACATCAATTTGTATAAATGATATAAATATTTGTTTCGGTTAGAACAAGTGATGTTAAATATTTGTTTCAATATAACAGTTGATGTTGAATATTTATATCATTTATTTAATTGATTTTGTAGTTACATCAGTTATAAATAAGTGTTTCTAGTATTCGTTTTAGCTTTTATAAATAATTGGAAGATCCTACAAATTTTAATTAATAATTGAAATAATAATATTATTTAAACAATTAGTCCAAATTGATGTTAAGAACGTAAAATCAGCACATTTTGACTGCTAGATCCGAATTCTAAATAAATCAACCGAATAATTAAACTTAATCTTACTTTTGGACTTTACAATGACAAGTAAGTGTTAACAAGTAAGTGTTAACTATTTATATAGTATTTTTTCTTCTTCCCCTTGCTAAATTGTCGATGTGGGACAAAGTTAATTTCACATTTTTAGTACAAAATTAATAAAAAACGAAATTTGAATAATAGTTAGTATCATTTTTTGTAATTAATNCAAGTTTTGTTTTACTTTTTAAGTGATGTCAATACAAATTAGTAATTACATCAGTCATTTAGTTGATACAAATTCATATTTATAAGTCAGTTTTTTAGATGATACAAAATACATTCGATTTGTATCAATTTTAACAAAACGATGTCAAACAACATAATAAAAACATCAATTATTACCAACTGATGCTAAATTAGATATTTTTGTATCATTTTTAGTAAGTAATTTGAAATAATATCTCTTAGTTTTGTGATATAGTTTTAGCATCAATTGTAATTTTTTTGTATCATTTTTATAAATGATGTTATTAAAAATATCGATTATCTAATTGATGTAAAAACATATTTTAGTATCAATTTTGTTAAAGTGATACAAACTAATATAAATTGCATCAATTTTGTTAAAGTGATTCCAAATTAGTCAATATCAACATCAATTATTACAATTAATACTAAACCATATATATTTGCTTCATTTATAGATAAGTAATTTAAAATAGTTTTTTTCTATTTTGTGATATAATTTAAGTGATATAATATATATTTTTTTTTAATGAGACTATGCGACAATGTTGAAAGTTCACTGAATCTTTACTTCTCCTTTTCAGTAACCATTTTGTGGTCGATTATACACGTGAAAAGGCGGCCTTTTTCTCTTTCTCACCTTTTCACCGATAACTACAAAGCTCCGGTTCCAACTTATCTAACATTTTTAAAGAAAATTGAAGTAATGACTACAACATTAAATACTAATAGATAGTATTTGGTGGAAAATGTTAGGTAGAACGTATTCAAAAAATATTTGTCAAAATCGCAATTTATTTTTTTATATTGAGATATTTGATCTAATCTTATAATAATTAT